GAGCCTGGTGTACTTATCTATGCTCGTACCGCGCTAGTGACTCGACCATGCGACTCCGCCAGTCTGATCTGTAATGTTATGTATGAAGGGAGAGATGAGGGTTATTACTATGCTAAAAGCAACCAATTAAGTTATTAATTGACTGTGTTTATAAAAACGATACATTGGGTACCAATCAATTTCTGGTAGTCGAATAGTGAAGGAATAAGTGACGTGGATGACGAAGAAGAAAGGGGGTGGTGGTTCAAAGAAGAACTATATCACCGAGAAAGGGAGACCACTGCCAAACAAAAAAAAAGACCATGAGTTTCCCTTCCTCGCGACTAGATCTCATTAATATGGGAAAACAAGAGAAGTGTGACTTTGGGGAGGGGGGGGGGGGGTGAAACAGTGTGAGGGGAAGGGGTGGTGGTTAAGGACCTCTAGACCAGGACTCCCTCCGTACAGTGCCCCCCCCCCCCCCCAAATCGCCCGTTCTTAATTGTGATGTCATATCAGCTATCGGGCACTGCACGCTCCACTGACGCTGGTCTATTGTTGTAGGTTCACACGTCCCAAAAACAAACAGGGGCTGGTGACAGCCAGAGTGGGGCAGATTAGAGCGGGGACCTTGAAAGGAAATTTGGGGGGGGGCAGGGACCGGTTCAAAGACTTGGTAGGAAATTAAAGTGGTTGGGGGTGGGGAGGGAGGGGGGTGTCTACGAGGGATACCTAACTAGAAAGTTAACAGGATGGGGGAAGGGGAGGGGGTTTAGGCGACTGTTCAACCAAGTGTAATTTGACATAACTTTTGTTTCAATACAAATAAAAACATGTCGCTGTTACCGAAAGTCGTGCGCGAGATTTTTATAACACAACGCGGTAACAATTCACATCTCACAACCTTTTCTAAAAACTACTAAAAAAACCCCAACAACAACAGAAAACTCACAAACTTTCTCAGCATGAAACGCATCACGAGCTGGTAATGGGGAGACTTAGAAAGTTACTTTGAAAGCTTAAAAACGACCCGCATCAAATATTAACTCGCTTTTCTTTGTTGCAGGAACTACCGTTGTTGGCAACTTCACAATCAGGTGATGTAAACAGTCCCTGCAAGCACGGTACAACAGGTCTTGGACCGTGACGGGGTGGGGACGGTCCGGGAATGGGGGCGGGCTGTCTTGGACTTAATACTGAAGGTGGTGATGGTCTGATTGTTCTGGCTCATAATTAGTCGACTAATGACCAAAAACAAACGAGTGAAGCGTTAAAAGTAGAACATTTTGTAGCGTTCGAGCAGTCTAGTGTTATGGTCTTACAGATCACTAGGTTTTGATTACAACATGTCACATGTTTGGTGGAGCAGCAACTCTTCAAGATCTACATTTGAAGACGTGGTGTTTACAAATTCCATGCAAATACACATTTGTGACTTTTCCGCCCTGTTTTCCCGTTTTGACTTATTTTGCTGTGACTTTTATTTTGTTACTTTTTTTATGACTTTTTTCCTACCAAATTATCCAGGGGGGGGGGGCGGGGGGGGGGCGGCGGACACTGGTAAAAGTATATACATTTTCTATATAAATTCTATATATTATCTCTTTACCCACATAAATGAAAAACATATTTCCATTTGATTGGCGAATTCTCAAAGTGTTACAGCTGTCTTGAGTTTGTTGAAACAGCAATCAATATGTGGGTTTTGTTTATCGAAATAAGCGTAAGAAACCGATTGTTAATCCAAAATGTTTTTTTTTTTTAAAATCAACCGCTTGTCAATAGAGAAAAAATAGAAACAAATACAAATAAATATCTAGAAGTATACATACACAAGTAAATAACTAAAACTGTAACTAGAGGTCTAAATACACCCGATATCAACATTTGCAAGCTCAGTCGTCTGAGGTCTCTGTTTACAACTAACAAGAAATTTAAGCATCGAATAGTCTAAATAAGAAATAGAAGCCTAAAGCAATTTCAAGTAATTACAAATTTAAAAAAAACATTTTAAATAAAGAATTTTTCCACCACAAGAAATTTAATCAGACAAACTACAAATCTGTATACGTATTTGACTAATACTATGCCAATATGCTAAATGAGATTTTAAAAAAATCCCCGTAACAAGAGAAAGCACAGACGCATCAGATTAATTTCTTTCCATTTCAAGATATTTAAGTCCCTGAGTAATCCTTGCAGCAAGGGAGAGCACTCGATCCCCGTGGGCCATAATCTGGGACCACCTCCCTAGACAATAACATGGTGTCGGCTTACTTTTCTTCCAGGGGGTGTTATCTTGACCAAGACGTAGGTGGGGGGAGTATACATGGATCGTAGGGGGGGGGGGGGAGTACACATGGATCATAGGGGGGGGGGCACACATGAATCGTAGGGGGGAGCACGGTAGGTGTGTTGACCATATAGAGGTGGCCATATGAAACAACACAGTTGGTGTGCTGACCATATAAAACAACACGGTAGGTGTGCTGACCTCACGAACAAGCACACAGTAGAGGCGCGTCAAAACGTCGTGAGTTCGCATAGAAATCAGAGCTGCGCTGACATAAGAAGGTTCGCCCATAAACAAGAAAGTTTGTCCCGACACTAGAAAGTTCGCCAACACCAGAAAACATTCCCAGACTTTACAAACTTCGTCCAGACTCTAGAAAGTTTGCTCCCCAAACCGATAGTCCTCTAAACTAAATATACTAATTAAGCTTGGTAAAAGTTAAATCAAACAAGATAAACTCGACTGTGCCAGTTTGTCAAAAGGTACAGGATAATAACATTTTGTCAAGTGCCAAATTTTTTTTATTTGAGAAAAAAGCATTCACTGACGAGGTTCAGACACCAACCTGAACCCATCTAACCTCCACATACACCAACCATCAAACCACAGACACCAACCATCAAACCACAGACACCAACCATCAAACCACAGACACCAACCATCAAACCTACACAGATACCAACCATCAAACCACAGACACCAACCATCAAACCTACACAGATACCAACCATCAAACCTACACAGACACCAACCATCAAACCTACACAAGACACCAACCATCAAACCACAGACACCAACCATCAAACCACAGACACCAACCATCAAACCTACACAGATACCAACCATCAAACCTACACAAGACACCAACCATCAAACCACAGACACCAACCATCAAACCACAGACACCAACCATCAAACCACAGACACCAACCATCAAACCACAGACACCAACCATCAAACCTCCCCCCCCCCCAGTGTCGTGGTTCAAACACCAACCATCAACCATCAACCTCCCCCCCCCCAGTGGCGTGGTTCAAACACCAACACCAACCACAACCCATCAACCCCCTCCTCCACCACCTTGAGTCGGGGGATTAAACGTCGACCAGGTGTAATGCTTTTGCCCGTGTGACGTCACTCCAGCCACAAGACGGCCATTGATGCGGTCAGGCCGGCCGGACACTCGCGCCCAGTATGTACATGGGATGATGTGTTTCATTGTCTGACCGCTGGCCCGAGGCCATCCGTCCAACCAGGTGATAATGTATGGCGTCAGCCAGATCAAACCGCCCCATTCGACCAAGCTTACAACTCATTCAATTTGCCGCAGTAATATTTCAAATTGAATCTTCACTGTTTAAAAACTAGTCCTTATTTTGATATGTTTTATTATTGCCATAAGATGATGTTGATTAGAATATATGCTGTATTTCTTCAATGTAAATTTGACATGATAAGCAAAATATTATTTGGTAATGATGTATATAGCCAAGTTTACCTCCCCCATCCCGTTGTCACAAATACAATGACCGTAATCTTCCCACATGCATCCTCATCTTAAATCTAACAACTAGATCTATCATCTATTTTAGTCATTTCATCTACAAAATAATACGAAATGTGTGTTGGGTCGTGTCTTTTCTGAACACTGACGTAGCCGATAGCTCTCCCAAGAATCGTGACGTCATTTTTGAAACTACACAGTGTGTATAATATTAGGTCATCTGTGTTGAAGCGGCGGCCTTAAAATAAGCGTTCTCAAAATGTTAATCTCAAAACTAAGGCAGTTAAAAAAAAATCTCCATCGTACACATTGTACGTTATATAATGTGTTATTATGCAGTTTGTCAAAGACTTTAATTTGCTTGTCTTGAAAAATAAAAAATAATAAAACAAAATGTGACAATGCTACACAAAAACCAACTTAAAATCAGATCATGCTAAACATATTTTTAATAGTGGCGTAGCCTAACAACTTGCGCCCCCCTTACTCCCCAATACAGGCTACAGCCTATATTATAATTTAGTATTGCTTAGTGTGTCCACCCCAGTTACACACCAATAAGAATAAATCTTATATGATGTTATCTATTCGTTTTAATTGTTGTCAGAAAGCTTGCCTCTTGCCTTTTCAGTTTTCTTTTTTAACCACCATCGGTAATTTAGCATCAACTGTGTACATTTTAAAATCGTTATTCCTGTTTGAGAAACAGTCATTAAATACACAAACAATGACATAACAAACAGTAATGTTAACCTTCAACTAAATGTTCATCCGATGTTTATGCGATTTTATAGACCTATATTTTCTACAGTGATAAAATAAAGATAAAGATGTCTGAAGGTTTGTAACGATCTTAGTCTAAAACTTTTCTATATAGCTTTGTTTAAATCTAAAAAAAAAAAGTTTCAGAAAAAAAAAGATAAGTAAAAACTTCAAAGGAATAGATTGTAGTTTGCTAATCCCTACAACATATACATTTTTTACTCTCTTCTACCTTGCCATTTTAAATATAGAATTTGGTTGTAATCAATTTGGGCGGTCACTTCTGGTGCAATCGCGCAGCAGCAACGAGTTTTCAACCCCACGCCTCTTGACCTTTAGGCTAGCGAGCATTCGTCCAGACCGCGGTGTGGAAGATTGTGCCGCGCGCCGAGATCAAAGAAACCCCCCTTGAAAACATCCAATTCAATCGCATAACAAGAATGCGCGCCACTACAGGACTCTAGTCGGAGACGTGCAGTTCTGCTTTCACTGTAGTCAGGGAAAGATCGCACGCAGTATTGTAAATTGTAGTGATTTTTTAATTTTTTGTATAACACTTAGATCTAAATTCTGTAAAAATTCCACAACGTGCTGATGCTATTATGACGAATATTTACCGCTTTGTAATAGTGTGCTGTGTGTTCATTTCTTTTCCCGCGGATTACTTTGATGCTAAGTGAAGCGTGTGGCGTGTAGTGTCGCGTGTTGACTTCTCGCCTCTCGCTAGTCTAGTGTGTTTATTTTCGTCCGTGTATTGCGACGGTAACGTTTGCTTCTAAGTTACATAAAATAAACAAATTAAAATAAAACTTCACTTTTTTTTTATACCGCTAGTAATATTTTAATACATTTAAAATAAAAATAGACGATATTGTTAAGGACTTTAAAGCGATAACATAACACACAACAACCCCCCCGAACCGTGAGAGAAAAACAGTTGCTAAAATTGGACCACGGCGCATGACTAAGTTGTAAGGAACGATTTCATTGGCCTACTGGTTTGATGCTCGCTAGTAATTGGGTGTTATTAGATTGCTTTTGCATAGAATTCATGGCGGATTCAAAACGTGTGTTGAGGGCTGTATTTCTACTGTGTACAAATTAATTTTGTGTTGGACTTATGACTATGCCGCACATGAGTTCGGGAGGATCAGAGGATTTTTATTCTACTGATGAGGTGAAGGTGTACAAAGATGAAGGGAATAAGGACGAGGAGAAGCGGTCTTCAGAGAATTTAACGGAGGAAAAGTTGGGCCTTGTCACTGAATCGGAAGAGGTGAGTGCACGACTCTCCACAAACAAATGCCTAGCCTTTGATCTTTTTTTATTGAGGTCACGATGATTTTAGCCTTATTTTTAAAAATTAATATTAATTTTACACATTTTAGTAGGCGTATTTTACTAAACTGTACGTTATTTAAATTTTCAGGGGAAGAATACGTCGATACAGGGAAATTTCGAAGGATCGGCGAAGTCGAGCAACACGGTTTCAGATGACGGTAGGTCGGGTTTTTAAGGGAACGAAAGATCAAAGGAAAAGGAGTGGGAGACGGATTGTTGGGTTCGGGAGGGGAAGGAAAACGGGTCTACGTAGGCTAGGAAAATGTGTGTGCTTTGTTAAAAAAAATTCCGTGGTATGAGAGTGCCTACAACAAAAGGCACTTCGTTTTTAAAAAAAAACTTTAACTTTCGGAAAAGTTAGCCTAAAATCTAGATTCTACATTTATTTACAATTTGTGAATTTACATATGGTAGGCCTATGATATAAAATATGTTTTATTGTAGTAGTGCTAATTATTGGACCCAATCAAATAGATTCTAGGCGCCCCGAAGTATTTTTCTTTTATCCGCACTCTTACTTTCTTTCCTCCATACTTGTTAGAATTAGCCTTTGTTCTTTTAGACTGAGCAACACAGTGCTAAATCTCCTTTGTTGAGCAGCAAATTAAAAAAACCTTGAAGCCTGGGTCTAGTTTGGCTATGATTTGGCCTTGCTGTTGCAAGCATACACACACTTCCCTGCCTACTGTGTGTGTAGTCTGATTCAATGATTGCACTGAATAAAGCTACCATTGTTCTCTGCCTGTGTAGTGGTGTTGGCCATTCATACACACTGTGTAGCCTACTGTAGTTAAAAGAAAGATCCTGCCTTTAGTATGTAGTATGTAGGCTAGGTGGAGGGGTTAGACTTTTAAGAAATCTTCTAGTATTGACAGGAATCTTTCATCTAGATCTAGATCTAGACCCTAGTAGCTACAATTAAAGACCCCAACTAGGACTAGTCTAGATCTAGATTCTAGATCTATCTAGAAACTAGATTCTAGTTTTAACTTATTTTTTTTTAAATACAAAAATAAAATTATCATAGGTCTAGGTTATAATGTAGCTGATTAAAGAGCGGTATTGTTTTTTTTACAAAAATTTATGTCAGCTATATTTTATAAAGAGAAAAAAAAAGAAAATAGGCCTACTTTATAGTTTAAAATTATATGTCTCAAATTGTTTATGTGAAAGAAAAAAAATTAAAAAAAAAAAGTTAGTACTGTAAATTTTGTTATATTTTGGAGATTCCCATATGGATCTAGGCCGCTAGACCTATTTAAATAAAATTAGTGAATATTTAGTTACATACTGCACCTATTGGTTATGACTTAGCTTAAATTGGTATTTAGTTACGATCTTTGATCATCGGGTTTACATCTGACAGTGTTAAATTAATTCTAGATCTAAGTGGAATAATGTTTAATTAATCAATACTATCAATTAGTTGTAATTAAATATTTTTTTTTTATAATTATAAAGAGTTCTACATCAGTTTTATGAATTTTTATTATTTTAATAAAAAATTCAAATATTTACTAATCTCTACATTGATAATTGTCAAATTTATTATTCGACTGAGTAAAAAAATATATCACACATTTCAAGGTAAAATAATAAATAAAACAGGTCTCAGACATTAATATTAATGAAATAGTTATTACAATTTAATTACGATTGTATTAGATGAGAACTGTAGTAGGCCTACACAAATTAAAAATAGGATACACTATATATATTTAATATATAACAAACAAATAAAAACAAAAAAATATATTGATATACATTATAAACACCTCAGCCGAAATAATCAATTTTTGTATTCCCAAAATAAATATAATACTAGGTATTATAAGTAATATTGTTAAATTAAATAGCAAATTAAAAAAATAAAGACCGCTCTGTTTTTAAAATTTAACAATAGCGGCTTTAAATCTGTCACATAACTCTAAATGAAATAATTAGAAATAAAATGCAAGTAGAATTTGTAACAAGATAAGGCTGCTGAAAGAATGGTGTCTTGTAGTTTTTCCCTTGTGGATCTACTTTGATTCAGAAGTCCTTAGCATATTTATAAACCAATTAAGTCACCTGATATGAGCATATTTACAATTTCTTAGATTACCAAGCAAACCTACATTTTATATTCCCATAGTAACCAACAGAGAAATAAAATTATTACATTTCAAAAGAAGTTAATGTTCACATTCTTGCTGGTAAAGAAAATGGAATTAAAATTGATGTATACTAAAAGTGCTAATTAGGGGTTACACACATTTCATGTTAATTACTGTAAAGGCTTCATTTTGAGAACATGGGCTACTCTTCTTTGAATTATAATTACCCAAAAAAAATGTTATGTTAATAATAATATGACCAGTGAAAAAATGTAATTATGGGTCTTGAATAGCTTAGTCTAAATTATAGTTATTACTGTTAGCGTGCTGACTCCTTTAAAATAGAACATTATAATTGCTAATTATTAAAAGTAACTAAAAGGTCTAAGCTAAAACTGCATGTATTCTTCCCCTATACAAGTTGTTTTAATTATAATTCATTCGTGTTACTCACTTTCCATCTGGTGCTCATAGAAGCAGCCTGAACATACTTAATGGCTGCAGCAGTTTGATATTGTCCAAGGCTAACTTGTTACATTGCACGAAAACCACCCACGCATTTTTTTTTTTATTCTAAATCCCAAGATAAGATATTTCTAAAATTCTATGAAACTGGTGAAGTTAATATGTGTAAAGACCAATTAAAATATTTTAAATTTGATTTAATATATTGCCATACAATTTTCCTTTGTACTATTATTTGACCGTTATTTAAATATTTTTTCTTGATATGGATGCGAGATGTATATTTAGTACAGCACAGATGCGTAGGAGTTGGAGTGAAAAAAAGGAAGGTTAGGTGTAATAAAATAGTGGGAACAGTAAAATACAGGCACACATAATCATTGAGGGATAGCTGTCTGTCCCCTTTCATGCCAGCCTTTACTTTTTGGTTCACTTAAATAAATCTTAAATAAATTATTTTGTAGGCCAACAGACCTATCTAAAAAAAATATTTTTAGTTCCGTTACGATTAATTAGATCCTATGTAATAATTATGCAGGTATTGGTTTATGTTGGGCATATTATTCGGTTCAAATAGACTACCTTTTTGATTTAAGTAAATAGAATCAGTTTTTAAATGGGGCCATACTATGATTTAAAATTGTCCTGGTTTTGGATGTAGTTTTAAAATTTCACCTCCAATGTTGCTGATATTGCTACAGTTTGCGTTCAATGGCAATGTTAACCATTTAGTGGTAGTGTAACCTTATAGTGGTCTTTACCGAATAGTTGTGGCGGATAGACAAATTGTGTTTGTTGAACATATTGTGTTGTTTGCTAGAATGAAGCACAATTGATAATTATTGTGTAAATATTGTAGCAGTGGTAGTAATACATATTCATATGTGGTGGGATAACTTGTTCATATTGAATGACAATTAATGTAAGGTCCATGTCCGTTCTAAGTCATGTTCATGTTTTATTTGGAGGTGTAAGCCAGTATTGTTCATTATTAAATGCCAGTTATAAGTTTATGTTCACATTTTTATGTGATCTTCATGCTAGTTATAATCCATGTTCATGGTAAGGGGAATTAATGTAAGCTAGGTAAATTTTTGAATAGGTTCATTTTATAAGTCACTATGTTCATGTTTGTGAAGTGTAAGCTAGTTATAAGCCATTATATTCGTGTTTTACCATGTTCTAATATAAAGTGTAAGCTGGTTATAAGCCACTATGTTCATGTTCTAATATGAAGTGTAAGCTAGCTATAAGCCGCTATATTCATGTTCTAATATTAAGTGTAAGCAAGTTATAAGCACTTATATCCATGTTTCCCCATGTTCTAATGTGAAGTGTAAGCTAGTTATAAGCCACTATAATTCATGTTGTAATGTGAAGTGTAAGCTAGTTATAAGTCACTATATTCATGTTCTAATGTGAAGTGTAAGCTAGTTATACACCACTATGTTCATGTTCTAATTTGAAGTGTAAGCTAGTTATACACCACTATGTTGTAATGTGAAGTGTAAGCTAGTTATATTCATGTTGTAATGTGAAGTGTAAGCTAGTTATACACCATGATGTTCATGTTCTAATGTGAAGTGTAAGCTAGTTACATGCCATTATATCCATGTTCAAATGTGAAGTGTAAGCTAGTTATACGCAACTGTGTTGTAATGTGAAGTGTAAGCTAGTTATATTCATGTTGTAATGTGAAGTGTAAGCTAGTTAACACCACTATGTTGTAATGTGAAGTGTAAGCTAGTTGTATTCATGTTGTAATGTGAAGAGTAAGCTAGTTATGCGCCACTATGTTCTAATGTGAAGTGTAAGCTAGTTATAAGCCACTATGTTCATGTTTACCCATGGTCTAATGTGAAGTGTAAGCTAGTTATACGCCACTATGTTGTAATTTGAAGTGTAAGCTAGTTATACGCCACTATGTTGTAATGTGAAGTGTAAGCTAGTTATAAGCCACTATGTTCATGTTTACCCATGGTCTAATGTGAAGTGTAAGCTAGTTATACACCACTATGTTGTAATGTGAAGTGTAAGCTAGTTATACGCCACTATGTTCCAATGTGAAGTGTAAGCTAGTTATACGCCACTATGTTGTAATGTGAAGTGTAAGCTAGTTATACGCCACTATGTTCCAATGTGAAGTGTAAGCTAGTTATACGCCACTATGTTCCAATGTGAAGTGTAAGCTAGTTATACGCCACTATGTTGTAATGTGAAGTGTAAGCTAGTTATACGCCACTATGTTGTAATGTGATTTGTAAGCTAGTTATATTCATGTTATAATGTGAAGTGTAAGCTAGTTATATTCATGTTATAATGTGAAGTGTAAGCTAGTTATAAGCCAATATGTTCATGTTGTAATGTGAAGTGTAAGCTAGTTTTACGCCACTATGTTGTAATGTGAAGTGTAAGCTAGTTATAAGCCACTATGTTCATGTTTACCCATGTTCTAATGTGAAGTGTAAGCTAGTTATAAGCCACTATGTTCATGTTTACCCATGTTCTAATGTGAAGTGTAAGCTAGTTATACGCCACTATGTTCTAATGTGAAGTGTAAGCTAGTTATAAGCCACTATAACTCATGTTTCCCCATC